CCTAGCATGTGCAAGGCCCTGGGCTCAAGGGTTTCCGTGCCCAGCACCACGCACCCCGCAAGTGTGACAGTCTGTATTCCGTGGCCCACAGTCAGCTGTAATATTCAGGTGATGACTCAAACGTTGTTTTCTTCCTAGATGTTCATATCCTCTTTCTTTCTGATAGAAGGAAGAACAGTTTTGCTAAAATTACAATGGGCCTCCTTGAAGTCAGGGACTAGTGAAGGGTTTTAACTCTGAGTTACTTTTCTACCTGCAGTCTCTCCCTCCCTTCCCTTCCTCCCTCCCTTCCTCCCTTCCTTCCTTTCTTCTTTTCTTCCATCTCTCCATCTCTCCATTAGCTTTATTAAGTGTAATTTTCTGTCCGTAAAATAATCCATGACAATTCAATACCTTTTATCTATTTTTGTGAGACTGGGGTTTGAACTCAGGGCTTCACACTTGCAAAGCAGGTGCCCCACTGCTTGAGCCACACTTCAGTCCATTTTGCTCTGGTTATTTTGGAGATGAGGCCTCCGACTGCAGTCCTCCCCATCTCTGCCTGTCAAGTCCCTAGGTTACAGGGTGAGCCACTGTGCCCGGCTTCAGTACCTTGTAGTTATTTCAGCTGTGGAGCCATTGCTGCAATGCACTTTGGGAGCATTTCTGTCTGCTCCAATTCCCTCCAGCCCAGGTGCAGTTAAGCTGTGCTCCCCTTCTCAGCCCTAGGCCACCACCAGCTTCTGCTTCGCTCACTTAGCGTGATGCTTTTGAAGCCCATGGTGTCTCATTTCCTTGCTTTTTATTGTTTTTTACTGTTTTTTGTTTTTTTCGTGAGGGAGATGGATGTATTTTCTTCACTCACCAGTAATGCTCACTGAGTTTCTATAGGGGGGCATTATGGGTAATGCTGTGGTGAATGGCTCTGTGCCAGGCTTGGGATACATATATTTTATTTTTCTTGAATGGATTCTTGAGAGTGAAATTATTGGGTCATGTGCTAAGTTGATGTTACAGTTTCAAAGTACTGCCAAACTGTTCAAAATGACCCCCATTTTACATTCCTACCCGCAGTAGATGAAAGTGCCATCTGCTGTGTCCTCATAGATTCTTGATGTGCTCTGTCTTTTTGGTCATGGTCATTTTAGTAGAGGTATGGTGTGTCTCCTTATGGTTTTAATCTGCATTTCCTCAGTAACTAATAATACTGAGCATCTATCCATGTACTCATTGGCTACTCTGTTGTCTTTGGTAAAAGGTCCTTTTAAGTCTTGGCCCAAGCACCCCCCCCACACACACCTTTTTTCTTTGTCTAGTGGGGTTTGAACTCAGGGCCTTATGCTTGCTAGGTGGGCACTCTACCACTTGAGCCATTGTGCCAGCCACCCTCACCCAGTTTAAACTGGATTGTTTGTCTTATTATTACCAAGGTGTACTAGTAGAAGTCCTTTATAAGATATATAATTTGTATTTTTTCCCAATCTGATGCTTGTCTTTTCATTCCTTAGTGTCTTGGGGTTTTTTGAGACAGTGCCTCACTGTGTGGTCCAAGATGACCTGGAACTCACTATGTAGTTCAGAGTGGCCTTGAACTCCTGGTCCTCCCTCTGTAGCCTTCCTAGTGGTGGAATTACAGGTGTGCACCACCATGCCCTTCCTTAAGTCAACTTTTTTATATTGAAATAACTTTGTATCTACAGAAAAAATTATAAAGGCAGTACAGAGTTCTCACATACTGTTACTCACTTTCTCCTGATGTTAACATTTACATTACTGAGTATATTTGTCAGATCTGAGAAACTAACAGAGGCATGTAACTTGTGTGTGTGTGTGTGTGTGTGTGTGTGGGGTTTGGATTCAGGACCTTGTGCTTGTAAAGCTGGCACTTTTTAGACTTGAGCCACATCTCCAGTCCATTTTTCTCTGGTTATTTTAGAGGTGTGTGTATGTGGGGGGGTGGGGGGGGAAGTCATGCGAACTACTTCCCGGGGTTGGCCTCGAACTGTGATCCTCCAAGCTCTCAGCCTTCCAAGTGGCTAGGTTTACAGGTGTGAGCTACCAGCACCCAGCCTAGACACCTAAGTATTACCTGAACTGCAGCGTTCATCCTGATCTCACTAGTTTCCCCACTAATGTCCTCTTTCTGCCCCAGGATCCAGTTCAGGACAGCACATTGCATTCTAACATCATCTCAGTCTGACAGTCTCTCAGTCTTTGTTTTTCAAGACATTGACAGCTTTAAGGAACACTGGTCAGGTATTTTGTAGGAATGAGTCTGAAGTAAGCTTTTCTGATGCCTTTGGCATGGTTAGGATAGAGAGGAAGTCCAGAGGTAAAGTGACCTTCTCATCACATCAGGGGTACATGCTAACATGACTTGGTCACCTGTGATAATTAGTTTGATCATCTGGTGAAAATAAGTTTTGCCAGGGCTTTCCCCATAAATCATGTGGAATCTGTAAAGGTTTGTCTCCCCTCTACTTCCAGCCCCATTATTCATCGTTTATTTTACACGTTGGATTCTAAGCTGATATTTTATTCTACTCTAGTTGTCCCAGCTTTGGCCATTGAACTCTTTCAGGTTGGTTTTTTGTCTCTGGCTCACCTTTATTTTCCCTGCTGTCATTTCTCCAAAGAGCCTAGACTGCATTTGTTTGGTTGGTTGGTTTTGAGAATGGCATTAGAAACCAAGAGCTGGATGTGTTTGTCCTGCTGGGGTCCATTGCTTCTTGGTCCTCTCAGGAAATACGGGTCTGTGTGTACGTGTGTGTGTGGTGTTGGGGTTTGAACTCAGGACCTCAGTTGCAAGGCAGGTGCTCTACCACTTGAGCCACTCAGTGCCACACCCAACCCTTTTAGTTTTTGAAACATGGTCTTGCTGTGTAGCACAGCCTGGCCTGAAACTCAGGGTCCTCCTGCGTTAGCCTCTGGGCACTGGGAGTACTGGTGTGTGTACACCACCACACCTGGCCCGCAGCCCTGCTCTAGACTTCAGTAGTCTCCATGAATAAAAACTGCTCAGTTTGTTGTATGCCATTGGTCAGTGTCGAGCACTGAAATGACTGGTTGAATCTGTCAAAGTTTTAGTGACTGGGGAGAGAATATCCCAGTAGCACACAGGCATGGTAGAAAGCTGAATTACCTTGCTACTGTGTTTCTCTCGTTTTTAAGCAAAATTTCCTCACAGTAACTTCTCTTCTGTGTCTTACTTCTTCCTCTCCCTACGACTCCACCAAAAATAAGCAATGGCTGAGAACGGCACCAGGTTTCCCATGATGCTGAGTTCAGCTCTGTTCTGTCTTGTCTTCCTGGAACCATGAGGTGCACTGGACGCAGGCGCACTCCCTCCTGGAGGAACCTCTGCCTTGTCTGCACGGCCCCTCCTGTCCTCCTTGTCCATCACCCCCACTGTGCCTGTGTGCACTGGCATCTCCACGGGCTTCTTTCCACCTGGCACCTCACTCCTGAATGGCAGGTGTATCTGATTGCCAAAAATGGCAAGTCTTCCTGACCATGGTTACCTTCTACTCTAGTTGCTTAGCCAGAAGTCTTGGAGACCTTCTGTCACAAACCACATCCAAGTCCACAGAAGTTACTGGCTCCAATGTGAGATTTACGCAACCACAGTCACTGCTACACTGTCTCGTCTACGTTATCTTAACACACTCCAGTGCATGTCCTGTCTGCCCTTGTTTCCTTTCCCTGTGGCAAAGCTGATTTTAAGACATCAGCCAATAAAGATATTTTAAAGCGTAAATCAGGTAATTGCTCCTGCTTGGACTTCTCCAATGTTTCTTGACTCAGATGAAGGACCCAGTCCTCAGAATGGCCTTCAGGATGGCCCTGCACCACCTTACTCACCTGTCTTCCTGTGTACTCTGTTCAGGCCACAAACTTAAAGTAGGTATCCTCTCAGCTTGTGTGCTGGCTGGTCCCTCTCCCCGGAGTGTTCTTCCACTGGCTCTCCATTAGGCTCACTTCCTTACCTCTCTAGGTGTCTGCTCATATGCCATCTTGTGCTGAGGCCCCCTTAACCACATCACAGAGAAACCAGCAACTCTCTCCCCACAGGGAGCGTTGCCTGCCCACCTTCCTCTCTCTCTTTCTCCATATGACATCACCATGTGATAAATTCTCCCCTGCTAGAACATAAGCTCCAGGAGGGCAGGCTCTTGTCTGTTTTGTTCACTGTTTGTCTCCAGGAGGCTGGAGTAGTATCTGTCACATAGTGAACACTGAAACATATTTTTTTAAAAATGAATGCCCTTACTAGAGGAGTGGCTCAAGTGGTAAAAGCCCTGAGTTCAAACCCTAATCTCACCAAAAAAAAAAAAAAAGAATTCCCATTTGTGTGCACACGTGTACACCTGATGAGGGTGGCTACTTAGGATAGACTGAGTGCGTAGTGTGGAGTCAGTCACACATCACTGTCGCCCATCTGTCCTGTTTCTGTGACGTCTTTCTGGATACTTTGAACCTTCCTAATTGTTCCGCCTTTACTACACCTTGGCCTGTTCTCAATAATCAACACTCAACTTTCTCTCGTTGAGTCATGAGAATTAACCTTTCCCTAAACACTGCTTGCTAGCACTCATGCCATGGTTTGCAGTGCCCTTCCCAGAGCTGAGGGGATGGCAGATAGGAATGTAAAATGAGCGTACCTGCTGAGAGATCGTCCCCGGGCCGTGGGAGCAGGACCACATTAGTTTAAGGAGACTGGAGTTTTGCCAGTGCCAGTCCTGCTCGCTGAGAGCTGCGCAGAGGAGGTGCCCGGTGAAGACAGGCTGCGCACCGAGTGCGGGACGAGTGGGAAGGCCTTCCAGGCCCAGTCGGGCTCTGTGCTCCCAGCTTATGCTCGCCGTGCCACGGGCCGATTCCTGGAGCCCGGCGCCGCAAGTTCCCTGGCGTTTCACTCTGCAGCGGGGTTCTTCTGTGAGATCCGGAGGGAGGAGACGCCCTTCATCATCGGCCCTGGAAGAGGGGCTGGGGAGGCCGGGCTGACGGTGCCGCTTGCCCCGCAGGGTGCTCCATGGGAAGCGGGACGAGCAGACTCTACAGCGCCCTCGCCAAGTCACTCAGCAGCAGCGCGGCCGCTCAGCACCCGGAGTACTTGGTGGCCCCTGACGCAGAACACCTGGAGCCCATTGATCCCAAAGAACTTCTCGAGGAATGCAGAGCTGTCCTTCACACCCGGCCGCCCCGCTTCCAGAGGGACTTTGTGGATCTGAGGACGGACTGCCCCACTCGCCACCCACCCATTAGGGTCATGCAGTGGAACATCCTTGCTCAAGGTATGCACGCTGCCTGTGCGCATGCGCCGTGACGTCTGCCTCGGCGCATGCGCGGCGCGCTGGCGCCCTCTGCAGGAAGAGGCGCGGGCGGACGGGCTGTGGAAGGGTGGGTGACCTCCCCCAAACCAGCTGCCCCCAGCTTCCGTCTGCAGCACCAACATAGCATTTGCAGGGAATGACGGCTCTGAGTGGAGTTAGTCTAGGTGGGGTTTGTTTTGTTTTGTTTTTGAGGCACTGGGCTTTGAACTTAGGACCACCAGCCCGTTTTTTGTGATGGGTTTTTCAAGATAGGGTGACATGCACTATTTACCGGGGCTGGCTTCAAACCTCAATCCTCCTGATCTCGGCTCCTGAGTAGCTAGGATTACAAGCGTGAGTCCCGGGCGCCCAGCTGAGTCTAGATATTTCCGAGGTTAGGTTCTCATCTACACTCATCTGTATAACTTAAGACCAAGAAAAGTTGCTTCAGTTCTCTGTTCATCAGTGTATCTGTGGCAGGGCAGTCTGCTTTCCTAGGCCTGCTGAAGTAAAGAGCAGATCTTCTCCAGTGCCATCAGTCTTCTGTAGCATTGCCTTTGTGTGGCAGTTGAAATTTTAAGAAAAAGAAGCAAGTGCCTCTTCTGTATGCATGTGTGTATTTCCTGGAAAAGAAGGGAATACTCTAACTTGCCAGTCTTTGCTTCTTTCGTTTTTCCAGGAGTTCACTCATAGGTGGGAAAAGCTGCCTGCTTAAAATAGACCCCATTCAGCCGGATTTATACATAGTCAGTTCACACGCTGTATTACAGTCTAGTCAAACTAGCACTTAGAGTTAAATATACTTATTTGCATTGACATAGTGTAGATCCCTGGAACTGCAAAGAGCAGCTACTAAGCAAAGCTCTTGTGTCCTGGAGTATAGTCCCGTGAAGCAGTTTTGCTACAGAAGCAACCAGTTGCCTGCTTCATCCAAACAATGAGAGGTATTTCGTTTGGGCGGGTAGCGCAGGGCATCCCGAGTCTTGTGTGGGCAGTATCCGCGGAGACCCCCAGGTTCTTTGAAGTCCTGGTCTCTGGTAACTGACCGCTGGCTGGCTGGCTTTCTCTTTTCAGCTCTTGGGGAAGGCAAAGACAACTTTGTGCAGTGCCCTGTGGAGGCCCTCAAGTGGGAAGAGAGGAAGTGTCTCATCTTAGAAGAAATCCTGGCCTACCAGCCCGATGTCTTGTGCCTCCAAGAGGTGGACCACTACTTTGACACCTTCCAACCACTGCTCAGTAGATTGGGCTATCAGGGCACGTTTTGTCCCAAGCCCTGGTCACCTTGTCTGGACGTCGAGCACAACAATGGGCCAGATGGCTGTGCCTTATTTTTCCTCCAAAACCGATTCAAGCTCATCAACAGTGCCAGTATCAGGCTGACAGCCATGACACTGAAAACCAACCAGGTGGCCATCGCACAGACCCTGGAGTGTAGTGAGTCCGGCCGGCAGTTCTGCATCGCAGTCACCCACTTAAAAGCTCGCACTGGCTGGGAGCGGTTCCGATCGGCTCAGGGCTGTGACCTTCTGCAGAACCTGCAGAGCATCACGCAAGGAGCCAAGATCCCCTTGATCGTCTGTGGGGACTTCAACGCCGAGCCCACGGAGGAGGTCTACAAACACTTTGCTTCCTCCAGCCTCAACCTGAACAGCGCCTACAAGCTGCTGAGTGCCGATGGGCAGTCAGAGCCGCCGTACACCACGTGGAAGATCCGGACCTCGGGGGAGTGCAGGCACACCCTGGACTACATCTGGTACTCCAAGCACGCACTGAGCGTCAGGTCCGCCCTGGATTTGCTCACCGAAGAGCAGATCGGCCCCAACCGGCTCCCATCCTTCCATTACCCTTCAGACCACCTGTCTCTCGTGTGCGACTTCAGCTTCAACGAGGAGCCGCATGGACTTCTATAAATGCGTCTGGCCTTTCAGTCCAGAAGTCTTAACCAGGGATGTTTGGGGAACTGAAACGGGGTAGGAAGTCGCCAGGGGACGGATTGATTCCCAGTCTCTGCACTTCCCGCTCAGTGTTCCGGCAGGCCCTGGAAAAGACCCGCTAGCCCACAAACCTCCTCAGTTCAAACCTGTGGCGACAAACGTGGCTGCACTCCACTTTTGACTTTGTCATTCCCTTCCCTTGTGTTGCACCAACCCCATGCAAGGGCAGTAAACGGGGCTTGTTCGGAAGCCTTTTCAGCGTGCAAATGCTTGAGTCCTTCATAATTAACAAGAAATACACAGGGACAATTCTGTAGACAGCATTTCAAGTTATTTATTTGTGGGTTTTTTAAATGTCAATGAAATACGCATGGCAATATTTATTTTTATATATTCATGTAAAATTAAGTAAATTACAGCATTAAGCACATTTTAGAACCATGCAGAAACACAAGATACAAAGTAACTTATAGTAATTTTCTTAAATTTTTACAAGGTTTTCATTTGGTGGAGGAGCTAGTTAGCCTGGAGGCGTCTCTGTTGTGTTAAGTGTCAGCCTCCTGACAGGCCCTTCGTAAGTAGTCCTGGTGCCTCCGTGTTCTCCGTTGTTTCTTGAAGAGTCCAGGTAGCTTTCAGTTATTTAAACAACACTTACTTTTCTTGATTTAATCACTGGGTACTGTTCCTGTTGGACTAATGTCAGGATGCATTTGGTTACTCAGTGTCATCATTTGTACTTTTCACGGTAGGAGCTGTTACGTGAAGTGGCCAAGAAAGTCAGTGGGACTTTCCTTTTAGAGATGGGATTCTAAAATAACCTGTCATGGATGCCATGGGAACTTCCTGATAGATGATGGGTTCAAAACATCTGGAAGGAAGAATGATGTGAACAAGTTGAAAAGGTAGCCTGGAGTTCTCTTCCATCAGAAGTAAAGGTGGGAACAATAGTATGTGAAGCCTCTTCCAAACAAAATAACCTACTGGTGATACGTATTTTAATGTATGATTGTAAATATTAAAGATTAATAAATGGTCTTTTAAAGCTAGTGCCTTACCTTTTTTTTGGGGGGGGTGGGGGGGACGGGACTGGTGTTTAAACTCAGCTTCGTGCTTGCAAAGCAGGTGTCCAGAGTTCCTTTTGCTCTGGTTATCTTGGAGATGGGTCCTGATCGCAGCCTCCTAAGTAGCTAGGATTACACGGGTAAGCAGTCAACACCCAGCTTATTTTTAATGTGATTAAAATAAGTTGGCCAGGTGTGGGGTGGGCACACCACTAATCCCAGCGCCCTTCATGGTGGAGGCAGGATTTGTAAATTCAAAATCAGACTGTGCTACATACCAAGTTCCAGTATGGGCTCCATAGTGACACTCTTGTCTTAAAAGCAAATAAAAACAAGGTAAATAGGAACGTCGTAAAAGGTGACTGCAGATTTGAACGGGATGAGCAGTGTGGAGTTTTGCTTCCTGTCATTTCAGCAGCTTCCATTCTATGTGGTAGTACTAATGACTGCATCACTACTACTCTTGCAAGGCATAGTGGTGCACATCTTTAATCCCAGCACCGAAGAGGCAAACAGAGGATCATGAGTTTGAGGCCAGTCTGGACGACCAAACCAAAAAAAAAAAAAAAAAAAAAAACTATGAAAAAAATGACTCAATTCATAGGCAAAGGTTCAAAAGGTCCAATTATTTGAGTAAGGTGACAGCTAAGGATTTTAATCCAGGTCTGCCTTGACTGCTGAGTGCTAGTGGCCTTGAATGAACACAGCTGGGAAGGCTTAGGAGGGGGAATACTGTGTACACAAGAACGTAAGCGGAAAAAAGAGCTGAAAACTACTTCCGCGGGAGGGAGGGAGGGACAGAGCAATATGGTGGAGGGGCGAGTTCAAGTTCGACACAGCTGCCACTGCAAGAGCCTTTGCAAATGCCACAGTGCCCCCACCCAGCTCAACGAGAACATCTGAAAAACGAACACAGATGGGGAGAAAAGTGGATTTGTAGGGGAGCAAAAACTTCAGTAGATGAAAAAAATGGTCAAACATCAAAATGGCAAAGGCCTGAACTTACAAAATGAAGGGAGAAAAGCCACATGTCAAAGGACACACACTCGGTGACACAGCTGTGACCCTCAAGCTCCATCTCTTAGGGCCTTGGCCCTCATCCGTCATTACACCTACCTTCCTCACCTCAGGTTTGTGACATGTCTACAAATTAAAATTTGCCAGGCGCTGGCGACTCACGCCTGTAATCCTCACTACTCAGGAGGCAGAGATCAGGAGAACAAAGGTTCAAGGCCAACCTGGGCAAACGGTTCACAAGGAACTATCTCAAAAACCCATCACAAAAAGAAGAGCTGGTCGAGTGGCTCAAGGTATAGGCCCCGAGTTCAAACCCCACACCGCAATAAAAACAATACATCTGTACGTCACTGAATGATAATGCCTAAAGTTCAAAACAAGAAAGGAACAGCTTTCTACTTTGTGTCTTTGTATTTTGCTAAAAGCACACCTGTTCTTAGCCAGAGAGCAACCCTTGAACTTGAAAGGGCAGCACCAGGTGTTAAGAGAAATTTAATCGCAAAATAGCTTTATGGGCTGATGGAATGGCAAGAAATTGTGCGCCCCCCACACCCACACACAAATCCTGGCAGAGGTGGGCAGTCCCACTTTGCTTTGCAAAGCAGAAATCTGCCTTCGACTGACACTACCCACACCCTGGGTGTCCAGACATGCAGGGCGCTGCTTCCCATGCCAGGCTGCCAAGCCGTTCAGAAGCCAGGCGATGCCAACCAGCATGGCTGATGGCACACAGATTTACTTCTGAAAACAAGCCGTGAACTTTACAGCCACACCTCATTCTGAACAAGTGTGGCTGTTTCTAGCTTGACCTTAATCCACACCTTGCCCTCATGTGAGTTGCCATTTTTAAAACTAAAATCTTTAACGAGAAACAGGACCCTATTAAACGTACTTCAAACCCAGATTCCGCCTGGGAGGCCGTTCAGAAGTATTCTGGAGGACGGCATTTCTGCCATTTGTGTGGCACTTCCCAAAGAAGTTTCTCAGAAGGGACAAGCAGAAAGTTCCCAGAAGCCGGTGCTGGGTGTTCAGCTGCACCCCCTGCAGCGAGCGTTTCAAAGGTTTGGAGGCGGAGGCTGAGAGGGCGGATAGTCTTGTACCATCAGGGCGGCTTCAGCGGGTACTGTACCAGGGTTTAGGTTTTAATTAGGGGCGAGTCACAACTACAGAGGACTTGCAGGGGAAAGTTGCTTTTGTAACCAGGACTCCCCAAAACCATGTGCTCTGTGGTGCCTTCCTAAGGACAGCAGGGGACTTAAAAGGAGCATAGGATATTTGAGAATAACCCCAAGGGCAAGCTTTTGCCTTTGGAAAGAAGCTAACCTTTGAACACGGCCAGTGCACACACCTGAGTGAAGGAGGCAGGGTCGCCACTGGACAGCCTGGCTTGTTCTGGGGCCTGTCTGCTTTGCCCCCCCACTGCGTGGTCCTGCTGCTTGGGGCCCCCATTCCCACTCCTCACCCTTGACCTCACCCAGGAGAGCACCACCCCCACCCAGAAAGGCGTCCAAGCCACTTATGGTTTTGTTCTTATGTCCTCACCTCCAAATGTAGGTGCAGGAAAGAGGTGTCCGGGGAGGTGCCAGAGATCATTGGGCCTAAAGCCCAGAGATGTCCGAAGGCACAGAGGGTAGGGGAGGCAGGCACAGACTAAACCGCTTTAGGTGTTACCTTACCCTGTAAGGCTTTTATCTTCAGGGCCAGGCCACTGAATCTAAAGCAGTCTTGGTGTGAGGGATTTTTTGGTGGGACTGGGGCTTGAACTCAGGGCTTCACACCTGCCAGGCAAGCCCTCTACCACTCGAGCCACTCCTCCAGACTAAATGTGCATTTTACAAAGCTCTTGGCTAGTACAGAGACTGCACTAGAGGGCGCCTTGGGGAGACTGCAGTACAGACAGACTGAGAGGAAAGGAGGCACTCACAAGGTAGGTGCTATCAGCAGGACCCAGGAATGAATAGATATGAAGGAGTCTAGAATGCCCTCCCCCAACACGTATACACATATACTCCAGGTTTCAGCTGGCATTAGTTATGGGCTGCTGGTATTGACATTCAGCCAAAATAAAGATTTTAGAAGAGTTTAATATAGGCCAGGCATGGTGGCTCACACCTGTAATTCTGGCTACTCAAGAGGCAGAGGGAGGGAGGATTGCAGTGGTACAAGGCTATAATTCCAGCTACACAGGAGGTAAAGGTAACAAGATCTCGGTCCTGCCTGGGGCAAAAGCACAAGACCCTATCTGAAAAATACCTAAAGCAAAAAACAAAAAAAGGCTGGGAGCACAGTTCAAGTGGTATAGCACTTACCTAGCAAGTGCAAGGCTCTGAGTTCAAACCGCAGTACTGGTGTGGGGGTGGGGAGAAATCACCTAAGGATTAAAGGGACAGACTGACTATAGTTTAAAGGCCTGCCTAGGCAGGAAAATGCAGTGGCACTGAGGCCTGGTTACATGGCTTTTCCTCAATATACTGGACACAAAAAGCAAATGTAAGTCACTGATTTAAAAGCAATAGTTCAAGGATAGGTGGAGGGCACACCAGTGCTAACTGAAACACTGATCAGTAGACATTGTCACACATGCTTCCACACTTAACCGTGAGATGCATCTATTCTAAAAAGGACACAGAATGTTCTGAGTGGTCAGAACCAATGAGTAGCACTTTAAGGGGAAGCATCACTTAAAACTTAGGCACCTTTAAGCTGCTGTCACAGCAGGTAACACAGTCTCCTGCGAAATGTTACCAAAACCTGCAAATGCTGGATCTGGATGTCTCAGCAGTGCAGCTTTTGGGAAGGGGTGCAGGCAGGCATAAGAAACAGTCTGCCCTAAAGGAATGTTATAGAAGACATGGCAAAACAAAAAAGACGGATTTTGAAAGCTGAAATGCTTATTTAAGGAAATGTTTCCAAAAGGAGTTGGAATTTGAGATTTACTCCCAAATATTTTAAGAATCAAGTTTTTTCTTGAGGTATTTGTCTAAAATTACCAATAGGGCCAGGTGCTGGTGGCAGAGATCAGGAGGATCATGGTTTAAGGCCAGCCTCCGGCAAATAGTTGGTAAGATTTGATCTCCAAAATAACCCAAAAATGGACTGGAGGTGTGGCTCAAGCAGTAGAGCACTGGCTTTGCACTTGCAAACCCAGTACCACCCCAAAAAGATTTAAATTAAAAAACAGGACTGGCGGAGTGACTCAAGTGATAGAGAACGCCTGCCGAGCAAGCATGAGGCCTGAGTTCAAAACCTGGTGCTGCCAAAAAAAAGAAAAAAAAATTAGTAATATTTAAAATAAAAAGGGAACCCCTATAAAATCTATGTCAATCTAAATAGTGTTGAATCAGATGCACAATGATAGGCCAAAAAATACTAAGCATCAGTTCATCTAAACGTCTAAAAATCAGACACCCTTTTCTTTGTAGTGGACAAAAACATTACAAGTAGAATGATAGAACTGAGTTGTGTGTGAAATCAGGTAATTCTTGTACACCTTTTGACACCTCATTTTCTTAAATCTGTGGAAGGGCTAGAGGATTATTTCTTACCCTCAAAAGGTCTCATGGAGAAACAAATTTTTTTTTTTGGCAGCACTGGGGTTTGAACTCAGGGCCTCATGCTTGCTAGGCAGGTGCTCTCTCTACCACTTGAGCCATTCCGCCAGCCCAAATGGTCAGATTTGAATTTTTTTTTTTTTCTTGCTGTGCTTGGAGTAAGAACCCAGGGCCTTGTGCACTGCCAGTAAAGAGCTGCACCCCAGCCCTGAAATGTCTTATGTGTATAAATTAAGTGTGACCAGGTTCGACGTGGTTAAGTAGACCACTGCAGTTAATGACAACAAGTAGAAAGAGGCAAGCAGATATTCACCAAGTACTGACAACATAGCATGGAACAGAAGTAGCACTTTACCACGCAGTAGTTGGGAAGAAAACTAGGACTTGTATTGCTCATTTAAAACAACATCTCTATTTCGGCTTCTGAATTGTTAAAAACATCACCAGAGACTGAAACACGAGATAGAAATTTCATTTCTATATTTCAGAAAACCTACTTGAATACACTTTGAAACAAGAGTACAACAAAATAGAATATGCTTCAAATGTTGAATATACAAACTATTATAGTTCAAATCTGAACACTGGTACTTTCCCTCTTAAACTTCAACTAAAAAAGAAAGGAAGAAAGAAAAGGAAGGAAGGAAAGGCAGAAAAAAGAATAAGAAAACAAACAGCAGGCATTAGAGCTACCTGACAAAAATCCATGCTGAATCTGAACTTCCAAGAACAGTGGAACTGAAACTGATGTGTCCGCACAGGTGCCAGGGCTGAGTGAGTGACACGGTGTGTTACAGCAAAAGGCCGACTGTTAATTTGTCCACAATTAAGAAACCGACAGACTTAAACTATAAAATGTTCCATGTAAATTCTATTAACAATACTGTGCTAGGTACAAGATTTTTAAAAGTTTTCTTTTAATAAAAAAGCTTTACACAAACAAGCCATTAGCTTATTTCAAGAAAGAAAACCAAAAATTAGTCTAAGGCCTTTGTTTTAAATCAGCTTAAGCTATATGGTATATATGTATATACACATACACACACATATCTGTATGTGTGTGTATGTACATATATATATATATATATAAAAACTCACACTAGATTTTTTGCTATCCTCTCTGAAGCTTTTGGATCCGTTCCTCAGTTCACATTCTATAATACCTATATTAGCAGTCTTCACATAGCACCAGTTAAGTGAGCACTGTGCGAACACAGTAATAATTGCTGGTTTGCATATAAAATGCATCAAATATTTCAATTTGTAACAATGACACCACCCATCCCAGTCCTCCCCACTGAAAACTGTCACCTCCTACAGGTGGCTTGTTAGTGTTCCGGGTCTTAGTGTAACCTGACAGTGTAGTGAGCCGCTTGGTCCCTCTCAAGTCTCTCTCCTCTTGATGAGTCAAGTCGCTTCCTCTGTAGGAGGCGGTTTCTGTCAGCATCTCCACGTGCAGTTCATTTCCCACTGAAACATGGGACAGGTAATTTATTTCCAGTAAGTCTGATTGCTTCTTTTATGCATTAAAAACATTTTAAAGTCTTCCTCTGACTTTCTCCATGAATTCCCTTGCCATGTTACGTCAGTATACCAACAGTCTGAAGTCCAAGGTGAAGCCGTGTTCATTTCTCACATGTCACCAGCCCTTCGGTTTTCATAGTCACAGGAAGGGCAATGGCTGAGGGTGCACTGACCACTACTACGTGGGTCACTGTCTTATTCCCATCTGCTGGCTTGTCCTCTACCAGCTGCAAGGTTTTCACATCCTGTTCCTGCTTTCTCGCCACTGCTTCTGATTTGGCATCAGGCCCTTTTATGACTGCACTGATGACCCGAGGAGGGGTCTGACCAGACGCCTGTTGAGCAGGCACCGACAGTCTCATGACAGGGGCACCGTGCGCTATTGACACAGGGGTAAGTGCTCTCACGGCCAGCGGGGTTCCAACAATGTTAATGCTTCCCGACCCCGCCAGGTTGGACTTTGTCTGCAGGTGACACTGTGCGAGCTGGGTGGCTGGGATGGTGATGATTTTGGCAGGCTGCATGGTAATTCTGTCCCCGTTTTCAGCGGAGGCTGGCGTCACAGCAGGGATTGTCTGAATGACTACCTTTGGAGAGGCTGCAGTTGTGGGGCTAGTGGTGGTCATTAATGAGGCACCTGCATTTACGGACTGAACTGCCACGGTTGAAATCTTCTGACCCAAGGATGTCATCACAACAGGTACCTGCATTGCCACACGAACTGTCCTAGTAGATTAAATAGAAAGAGGTGATTATATTTTATCCTAAATTAGAATATGAGTCTCTTGTACAAAAAGATGAGTACAAATCCAAACTGCATAAACTGGTGCTCCCAACTGGTACAGATGTACTGGCAATCTCTGAAGTTTACAGTGTGAAAGACTCTAAACCAAGCATTAAAAATCCCACCTTAGAGTCCATCAGTACAATAAAAACCCACTCAGACTAGGCAAGCCATCTACTTTAACAACGAAAACATACATTTAAAAGACCAAAGCCTGCCAAACCAAGGAAAAGAAAGTAAACACTCCAGCTCATGGTTTGCCTCCTTACCTGGGAGCTGCAGCTGCTGACACAGAGGACGCGGTGGTGGGAGAGCGGGAGGCAGTGTCGTGACCGTGACCCGGGGAGGTGAGGTTCACAACTCTAGCCACGCCCTTCTCTGCTCTGGCGCAGTTTAGAGGAGACGAGCTTTTCCCACCACGGACAGAAGCGGCTGCTTTCAGGAGGCTTTCTGCAGACAGCGACACTCGCTCTAGAGACTTTTCATCTGCGGTGGCCAAGTCTTCACTGCACGCTTCACTCTTGTCGTCATCTATGACCACTATGTTCTTGGGCATATCCTTGAACTGATAAACTAGTCTCTGGCCCTCTACCTTCGCAAGGATTCCCCTCTGGTAGTAGTATCTGTAAGGACAGAAAAATCCTGAAAGAGTCACGTGTATCACCCTCACCCCCACACCACGAGCACGGAGACAATCACACACCCACTCATTCCTGTAAGGTAAGAAAGAGCTCTCACGGCCTGGACTGCTAAAAGGCTGCATATCTGGCACAGGAACAAAATTAGAATGTGCTACCATGGCCTTGCGATCTGTAAAGTTCACGCTCTTGTTTTTTTCGGGTTTTTTTGGCACTGGGGTTTGAACTCAGGGCCTCATGCTTACGAGGCAGGCGCTCCACTACGGGAACCACTCTGCCAGCTCATTCTTTCTTTCTTGGTTGTCTAGTCCTTTTTCAAGACAGGGTCTCACTATGAGCCCAGGCTGGCTTCCAAGCAGAAATCTCCTGCCTCAGCCTCTGGAGTCCTGGGCTTACGGTATGAACTCGACACACAGCTTATTCCCTCTCTTAAAGAAATAGCTTCAATACAGAGTATCTGACTGTTACTGCCACCACTAGAAATCCTACTCTGACTAATGTAAGTTGTGAAAACAAGTTGACGTTGCATGGGAACTCCACCTCGGCCATACGCAGTACAGGGGATCCTGAGACACGTGGCCGTCTCACATAAACTGTGCCTGCTCACATGCAAACCTGCCACCTCAGCCAAACCTGTACAGACTTCTCCAGCTGACAAAACTTGCAAACACTTTCATATTGAGATAAAAACCACTTATAACCACAAAAAGGCAAATTAACTTGGGAAACTGTATTTTGTTTTGAGTTTGATTTTTTTAAAAGGCCTACAAAACCGAGTGTCTTTTTTTTGTGTGTGTGTGATACTGGGATTTGAACTCAGGGCCTACACCTTGAGCCACTCTACCAGCAGCCCTTTTTTTTGTGAAGGGTTTTATCCAGATAGGGTCTCATGAACTATTTACCCGGGCTGGCTTTGAACTACAATCCTCCTCATCTCTGCCCCCTCAGTAGCTAGCTTTACAGGCGTGAGCCACCGGCGCCTGGTGTAACAATTTCTTAAGGACAGATATTCTTGTTTTGTTTTCTTTTTGGCAGCACTGGGGTTTGAACTGAGGGCCTCATGCTTGCAAAGGCAGCAAACTTAACCACTTGAGTCACTCTACCAGCCCTTTTTTTGTGATGTTTTTCTCAAGACAGGGTCTCTCGAACTATATTCTGGGGCTGGCTTCAGGCCTTGATCTCATGCCTCATGAGTAGCTACACTTACAGGTGTGAGCCACTGGCGCCCGGCTTAAGAACAGTCTTCATTGCAAAATCACATCATACAAACAAGATTTTGCAAGGACGATGACATGGTGGTAGACATGTAAACTAAACTCCTCTCTCCCCATCCACTTCCAAATCTAACAAGCTCCTCTTGGATATTTCCCAAAGTTCAAAGTTCTATGGGACGTTCAGCTTCTTTCAACAGGTCACTGCAATGTGAGAAGACTGAGAAGTTTTTCTGGAAACTGGCTCTTTTGTGTCTTACCTCAGGGCCCGTCCCATAGTCTCATAGTTCATGTCCGGCTTGTTCTTGTGCTTCCCCCAAAGCTTTGAGACAGCCTTTGAATCCACAAGCTTGAAGATGCCCTTTTCTCTCTGGGTCCACTTAATATACCGGGGACAAGTATTTTTATCTTGAAGTAAATCTAAAAGAAACTCCCACAGATAGGTTGTGTTTCCTTTAAAAGCAAAGCAAAATGACAATAACACTCATTAACTTAAAATTAACATGATCAAAAGCAAATTAACTTTTTTTTTTTTTTTTTTTTTTTGCAGGCTGGGGTTTGAACTCAAGGCCTCGAGCTTGCTAGGTTGGCATTCTACCACTTGAGCCACTCAGCCAGCCTAAGTACACTTGTTATACCAAAAATTCTAATTACATACTCATCTGCTGGTTTTAAAAACATATGTTAGAAAGCTAACAGAGGACCTGGATTTTATTCTAAGGTATCACTGTATCCTAGTGTTGAGTTCAGAAAAGTAAAAGCACACTTAGTTCAAAATTAACCTGAATTAAATAGAATCAGATGTAGTAATTTACAGATTTGAACTCTGAATAAATTAACTTGCACCTTTGTTTATTATATTATCCAAATTCAATATCATATTAATCAAAAGGCACTCATTAATTTTATTAAACAGGTAAGCAATGAAATGTATGGCCTCGGTCAGGATCTTTTTGTAACAAGTACACTTTTCTGGATTCCTCACGGGCATGAACCCTGGGGTACATGTCTCTTGCACTTCAAACTGCCCTTAACCCTGCCTGAAGCAATCTCTTCACATTTTTCTTTGGACTCACAGTAAATGTATATTTGACAGCAATAAAATTTACTACCTCTGAAAACAGATTTTTAAAAATTCCTAATCTCTTTCTACTGATGCAGTACAGAAAGATAATATATTAAAAGAATTTTTATTTTTTTGGCAGTAGTGAGGTTTTGAAGTCAGAGTCTCACACTTGCTAGACAAGTACTCTACCACTTGAGTCACTCCGAAAGCCGTGTGTGTGTGTGTGTGTGTGTGTGTGTGTGTGTGTGTGTGTGTGTGTGTGTGTTATTTTTAAGATAAAGTCTCACGAGCTGTTTGTCCGGGCTGGCTTCAAACCATGATCCTCTTGAGTAGCTAGGATTACGGGTGTGAGCCATGGGTACCTGGCTATGTTTAAGGAATGTCGTTATATACGAACAACTCAACTAGAGACTTGTGCTGCAGTCTTAAAATATGAGCTTCTACCAGAGCAGTAACACATTTGTAGTTCCAGCTACTTGGGAGACAGAGCCAGAAGGATGAAAATTTGAGGCCAGCCCTGGCAAAGTTAGTGAGAACCTATCTCAAAAACAAAAAGGCTGGGGGTGTGCCTCAAGCAATAAAGCCTCATGATGTGCAAAGCCTGGGTTCAATCCCCAGTGACGAAAGAAGGAAGAAAGAGAGGGAGGGAGGGAGTAAGGAAAGGAAGGGAAAAAAACTGGTCAAGTATTTAGCAAATGTGAACTATAGCCGGGCGCTGGTGGCTCACATCTGTAATCCTACCTACTTGGGAGGCTAAATTCGGGAAGATCAATGTTCAAAGTCAGCCTGGAGAAATAGTTCTCGAGACCCCATCTCCAAAATAACCAGAGCAAAATGGACTGGAGGTGTGGCTCAAGTTGTAGAGCAGTACAGCACCTGCTTTAAGTGCAAAGCCTCAAGTTCAAACTCTAGTCCCAACAACAACAACAACAAAGTGAACTACATTAACTCTGGATCATGCTAACAGCAACATCTGAAAATGGGCAAATATTAAATATTTCTACTGAATAAAATATTTACACTTAGTCATCATATACTACACTTAAGTACAGGACAGAGAAAAATTTAACCCGAGTCTATAGGGCTGGGGCATGGCTCAAGTGGTATAGTGACTGCCAAGCAAGGGCAAGGTTCTGGGTTCAACCCCCAGAACTAGGGGAAAAAAGAAATCCCATCTCTGCCTCAAGGCATTTACAATTTAGTGGAAGAAAAAAGCAAACATCAAGTTAAGCAGTAATAAAAGCCATTTGAAACAATGTCTCAAGGCAATGGACAGTTGTATGGCAAATGAATCACAGGAAACAATGGCTGGGATTTCAGGAATCATAATAAAGTGGATTGGCAAAACATCACCAAGTCTTGGAAGCCAGCCAAACTGTAAAGAAACAGGACTCCAGGGCTGGCTGTGGCTGCATTTGTAGAGGTCTTGCCCAGCTTGGTTCAATCCTCAGCACCACAAAGAAAGAAAAGAAAGCAGAAAAGGAATGTGGACAAGTAAAATAAGGAACCTAATTCAGAAAGAAAAGAGGATTCTTTTCTTCTTCCTTTCCCCCTAGTAAGGGGGGAAAGCAGTGGGAGAAATCAGGAGAAGACCAGGGTTTTCAAGCTCCTTTTTTTTTGTGGTACTGGGGTTTGAACTCAGGGTCTACACCTTGAGCCACTCCACCAGCCCTTTTTTTGTGAAGGGTTTTTTTCCTGAAATAGGGTCTCATGAACTATTTGCCCAGGCTGGCTTTGAACTGCAATCCTCCTGATCTCTGCCTCCTGAGTAGCTAGGATTACAGGTGTGAGTCACTGGCGCCCAGCTCAAGCTCCTTTTATTTACTCCTTTGGAGCCTACTCTAGGAGTAGAGGTTCTTAAATCCCTGAAACAGAAAGAGTGCTGAGAAGACACAATACACAACCTACCAGTGAGTAACCACCTCTCCTATCTCTTAACTAGATCCTTAAATCCAGACCCATGCTACAGGCTACTGGAGAAGCTTCCAAACCAAGCCACTGCCTCCCTGGCTTCTTCAACTGAATCTCCACCCTGATCTCTCTTAAAACTCAATAGTCATTAGGAACCCACAGTTGAAGCCAGCACGCACCTCCTCACATACAAAGACTGGCCTTCAACTTCAAAGTACTTTTATCATCACTGATGGCATACTGCATCAGGAAAGTGCCTAAAATTCCTGAGCCACATGGATCATTCAACTACATCCAAGCATGCTGCTGGGAGCTTTTTTATTAATTTTACACCCAGTGGACATCAGGTCTTAGGAGTAGACATAGAAACAGAAAGCAGAGATTTTATTCTGGAAGGAAGTTTTGTATAGTATAGACAAGGCCTTATGAAGGTCTTTGGGGCTTATTAGATATAAACTCAACATTTTTGGGTTACCTTAAATGCTCCACACCAGTTTCCAACCCAAATTCAAAATCCTACTTCCAGTTTAAGGACGACAGGACTGAGGGAGGGAAGCTGCCATTGTCAGACACTCTCATCATTATTTTCCAGCAGAGGTTAACACTGGCTGGATTTTGAATCCGGGCTTCACTTTACCTCATCTGCTTCAAGTGCACTAAGACCGATGATTGGTTTGGGGCTGGGGTGCAGCTCAGTAGCAGCACCCATGCTTAGCACGTGGGGAGGAAGAGCATAAAAGAAAATAAAAAACCAACAACACACACACACACACACACAAAAATGATTTTTACTGGTAAAGACAGGTCATCACAAAGTTATTCAACTGGGGTTAAACAATTAAACATAGGTCTTTGAGTATAACAGACATCACTGATAATGAGAATTATTTAAAAAACAGTAATAAGGGTCTAGAGGCGTAGCTCAGGAGTAGAGTACCTGTTTATTAGCACATGCAATCCCGGGCTCCATCCCTGCACCACAAGACAATCAGAGAAAATGGTAATAACTGTGTGTATGTAGTTCCACTCTCTAATGTTCCTCACTACTATTATGGAATTTTAATGTTTTCGATGTAAGTGAAAGGCAAAACCTAAGATATTAGTGCTGTTACTCAGACACGTCCCCTAAGACCACAGCTTCTGGGAAGGACAGGCTTCTCATGGCTCTAAATATATTACCAAATAAAAATGTTGCTCTGTTACACTCCCATAGTAGAGCTATGGCTAGGATCTCTGAGACAGGACTGGACAGAGGTATTTTGGAAAAGTTCCCCAGGTAATGCTGACCCATCCCGATGAAGAAATGTTACCAGATTACTTGGGAGACCAGACTGGGTAAAAAAATCACTGAGACCCCATCTTAACCAATAAGCCAGGCATGATGATTCATCTCTGTAACCTCAACTACTTGGGAGGTAGAAGTAGGAAAGATCTTGATTTTAGGCCAGCTGACACGGAAAGTGGACAACAACAAAAAACTAACACAAAAAGGTCTGGATGTTGTGGCTCAAGTGATAAAAGGTCCCAAGTTCAAACTCCAGTACCACCACCAAAAGAAGAAATGCTACCAGAGACAGTACTCCCATATGTCCATGTACTAGAAACAATGGTCTTACAAATGCAAAAATGTCACATAACTGGGAAAAAAAAAGATCTCAACTCCAAAATTACCCCATCCCCCATTACCTTTTCCTTCTCTGGGTTTCTTCTTGATTCCCAGCTCAGGAGACCCATTAGAAATTGGTGATTGTTGGGTCTTTGGTTTCCGACCAACTGAAAAAATAAGAAATTGGAAACAGGAAAGATAAGGAGCACGCTTCTCTGTGATAAGACAGTCTCATTAAAATAAACACTAACACATGGACTAACGCTCAGTGTAAATGAAAAGTTGCTCATAAAGGAGCATTAAAAACTTTCCGCAATTTTAACGGAAGCTGTGAGCTGTAGTAATTTCAATGTATCTGGCCAGTCAGGTTCTACTGACCTATTACACGGGTAGAGCCCAAGTTTGCTCACCTTTTAGTGGGTTGTTTTTTTTTTTTCAGGACTGGGCTTGAACTCAAAGGCTTCGAGCTCACAAAGCAGTAGCTCTGCCACTGGAGCTGAGCCTCCTACGCTTGCTAACCTTTAACACTAATATAGCAAAGAAACAAATCCTACCAGGAGGTTTTGTTGTATGGGATTGTCACAACCAACTTTACCTACTTACTGCAGAGGGTCTGATAATCTGTGAAGCCCCTTGGGATCAAATGCAGAAGGATAAAAAATATTAAACACTAGTGCTCCAAGCCAATCCACTCATGAGAATTCAAGCACAGTGTTTCAATCCCCTCACCTCAACATGCAGATACACTGCAAGGGAAAAAACTTACAAGTTATTATTTTATAGGTCTAATAAATGTCTGTGCCCTTCTTTTTGTTTTTCATTTCTGACACGGGGCTGTCTGAGACCGTCTCAGCATGCACAGGGAAGGGAAATCAAGGGCTGTCCTGCTCCTGCTAAAGAGGGCATAAGTCTGAAAGAGCCGCACTGGGTCCTTCCTACAGATGGATGCTGGCAGCTGAAGGGAAGGCTGACAACGAGACTGGCAATATTAAAGTATTTCACATTTTCAGATCTAATGTATTAACAGATTATTTCTGACCTGGTGATTGTCATAGATCTGGGGTTTCTGATATTCTCTTCATTATCAAGGGTTATTTATTACCTATATAAAAACCTAAATCAAATTAAAATCTTTTTTTTTTTTTTGAGTTTGAGATAAGGTAACCCAGACTGGCCTTGAACTCTTAATCCTCTTGTCTCAGCCTACAGAGCACTGGCATCAGCCTGAACCACTACCCTTGGCTAAAATGCCTTCATTTATATTACAAAACATATAGATATAATCTCAGATTTCATTCTGGTACTTCTAACCAGAAAGATGTCTGTTTTGGCAGAAAAAAAAAATCACTGGTTTCCTTGTTAGGACAGAGCTTAATTTCTCAGCTTAAATTAACATTTATACATATGAATCAGTCAATAACAAAACTAACATCTTCACTATCTCCTAAATTCAAGCACAAAAGCCTAACTAAGGGAAAAAACAAAAACAAAAGGCAGGGAGGCTGAGGCAGGAGGATTGGGCCTGTGAGTTCAAGATCAGTGGGGAATGGAGGGAAAGATGGGGAAATGGTCTTCTCTGACTGGGGTGAGGTGAACTCTCAGTGCCCTGATGGCTAAAGATACCAAACATCAGTTACTGGCCATGTGCAAGTCTTTTACTTCTTTTTTTTTTTTTTAGGGATATTAATTGTATCTACACAATTTTTTTTGGTGGTACTGGGTACTCAAGAGTACTTGCTAGCAAGTAGTCTAGCACTTGAGCCCCGCCCCAGCCTCCATTTGTTCTTGTTTTGATAACTATCCGTTCAGTTCATTTGCCCACTTATTAGTTGGATTTTTACTCTTTTGGTGTTGAATTTGAGCTCTTTATGCCAAAACCTTTAGTAGGTATGAGCAAATGAGACGATTTATAAGAATGTCTTTTGTTTTTAAACATTTATAGGAGGTAGACACACGAAATCTCTGTATTATAGATGAGAACCTAACTTCAGATTCATCTTTCAAATTTTACCTTTGGTTTGGATAGGGAAATCTGCCCTGAATGCCCACGTCCTCATGAAACGTCACGAGGAGGTGTGCTGGATCCTGGTGCTTCTGGGGTCAGGTGAGCAGAAGCTGCAACAGGAGTCACACAGTAAGTGGATTTCCGCTTTGCTTCACCCACTGGCAATTTCCACCAGTTAAAAGCCAATAAACTGGCATTCTTAGTGTTTTAAAGCAGAAGGTACAGGGAAGAAAAGAATATTTAGCTTTAAAAAATGTCCATGAAAGAGGTGAAATATAATATGAAAAATAGAGAACAAGATTTCTTTTTAAGTAACCACATCGGGTTTGATGGCACGTATCTGTAATCCCAGCACTCAGGAGGGTGACACAGGAAGATGGGGAGCTTGAGGCCAGCCTGGGGTACAAAGTGAGTTCCAGGCTACCCTGGGCTGTGTAAGCAAGTTCCTAGCCATGAGCTGTGGTTCACACCTGTAATCCTAGCTATTTGGAAGGCTGAGATTGGGAGCATCCAGGTTCCAAGGCCAGCCCAGGCAACTAATTCCAGAGACCCTATCTCCGAACTAACCAGAGCAAAATGAGAGGTGTAGCTCAAGCAGTAGGGGGCCTGCTTAGCAAGCACAAAGCCCTGAGTTCAAACCCTGTGTCCCACCAAAAAAAAAAAAAAAGATCCTGTTTTTAAAAGTAAAATAAAACATTTTTAAAAAGTAACCAAGTATCTACTAACAGCACAGAAATTACTAGGCAAACGTGCAGAATCTCTAACATGCTCTCTGCGTGTCTGACACATGTTAAAAGCTCACTTACAGGCAAGTGCCTTTAGGGCTCCAACACAAACTTCTTTAAACAGTGTTAGTATGTTAAAACACAAAATTTAAAAATCTCAACTGTTGTTTCCTTCAGACTCGTTAACATCTATCTTAAATCTACAGCATGTATTATTTTCTATGTCCCTTCATGGGAAAAGATACCAGAAAAACATCTGCTTTCTCAGAAAAGTATAAATATACTCCACCTTTTTTCTTTTTCATTGGTTCCTGGCTATCTGGAGATGTTGGAATAGGAGAGGTATCCATTGGTTCAGACTCTTCAGTTGACACCTCCACTACAGTTTCTGTAATGACATCTGGCCTCATAGCAGCATGGATAAACTCTGGAGTTGATACACAAGGAGGGACAAACACTTCCACTATAAAAAAAAGTTGAAAAAGTAAGTTTCCCACCCCCATTCATAGTCCTCACAAGGATAGTTCAATACCTAGAAGACAGGAGTTTACTAACAATTCATCAAAGCTGGGCAAGAACTTAGTACTGAAGAAATTAGTTTGTTCGAAATTCAGTATGATTAAAGTATTGAGGGAAACAGATGTAAAGAGAACCATCTTGCCTGGCACTGCCTTTGCCAGGCAAGTGCTCTACTCAAGCCACTCCCCTAACCCCCATCACGTGATACAAAACTCAGACCAAGATCATCTAATATTTAAAATAGTTTTTAATGGGATAGTCTTGATATTTTAAGACACTAAAATAGTAACTGACATTTTATTACCTACAATAATGTTACTTCAGTTTCCTTCAAACAAGCATGACTAAGCAGGACATTTATTTCTATCTCAGATGACACGTGCAATTAACATACGCTGATGTGGATATACTAACACTGACCAACAATTCCTGAATATGCTTCTCCTATCTTGCAGTAACACATGGGATTCCAATTCCAGCTAAAAAGTATGACTGTGATCCTGGCTATGTGAGAGGTTGAGATGGGGAGGGCAGAAGTCCAAGGTCAGCCCAGGCAAAGAGTTTGTGAGACCCCATCTCAAAAACAATCAACACAAGGACTGGTGGTGTGGCTCAAAGCATTAGAGCACTTACTAGCAAGCCAAGGCCTTTAGTTCAAACTCAAGTACTGCCAGAAACAACAACCAAATACCTAACACAATAAAAGTGTTGGTGGAGTGGCTCAAACAGTACAGTGCCTGCCTAGCAAGTGTGAGGCCCCAAGTTCAAACACCAGTGCTGCCAAAAAAAAAATATATATATATAAATATATATATAAATGTAATTATATGTACTATAATAAATGCTCTTAGCATTTATTGTAAATTTCTTATAAGAAAGGCCAATCTCTCCATATCAAGTCAAATCATTAAATTAAAATTAGGACAAATTAAATTAAGGTCAGGTACTCATGAAAAGTAGACCTTTAAGAACTCCAGCAATACTCTTGGGTGTGAGCTGTGGCTCACACCTGTAATCCTAGCTACTCAGGAGGCAAAGATCAGGAGGATCTCGGTTTGAAGCCAGCCTAGGCAAACAGTGAGTCAGACCTATCTTGGAAAACCCTTCACAAAAAAGGGCTGGTGGAATGGCTCAAGCAGTAGAGCCTAGCAAAAGTGAAGCTCTGAGTTCAAACCTCTGTAACGCCAAGAAAAAGAAAAAAGTCTTCAGCAGGCATGGCAGTGCAGCACTTGGGAGGCTGAGGCAGGGTCATGCCTGGGCTACTTACACATCACAAAACTGTCTCAAGCAAAACAGAAACAAAAGGTCTTCATTCTAACATGAAGTAACTTGATCCATCTTGTACAGAAACGGCTGGTTCACATACCAGGACTTCTTGAATCCCTCAAGCAGGTCGGAGACTCCATATGAAGCAGGGCCTCGGCAGCTTCGATGGTCTTATCTGTACAGTGTGCATTACTGCTATGAACGGATGCTTCCACTGGGGGGAAAGAAGTACTATTCAATTACAAAGGAACTAGGCACATTACTAACCTAAAACACACTGCTGTACGAAAACAGAAATTAAATCCCATGTAACTCTATGTAATGCATTGGTACATCACTCTATAAAAATTATTTATTGAAATAACTTAAAAACCAAAATAAGATAATAACTACACTTTATAAAATGAAGGCTGACTTAAAAAGCAACCAATAAACCAGGTGTGGTGGTACATTCCTATGATCTCAGCACTTGGAAGGCTAGATCCTCACAAGAGGATTCAGAGTTCAAGGCCAGTCGGGACTACTTAGAGAAACCCCATCTCAAAAGGAAAAAAAAAAAAAATCCAGTGAAGGTGATTAGAAATAAATGAGAATTTTCTAGATTGCAGTCACAGAAAAACAAATAAAGACCCCTGAAATTTGAACCCTGCATCAATTTTAAGCCAAAACTAATGAGGGCCAGAGCAGGGTAAGGATAGTTACAGATTAACAGCCCTGTGAGATCAATTTCAGTTTGCTGTGTTGCCATTAAAGCTAAGAGTCATAATATCTGGCAGAACCAGTCAGAAATCTTCAGTTAAATTGATGAGTTAGGCTCTCCTGGACAAGTTAGTCATTGCCAGGCAGGGCATTATTTAGGGTGAGAAACTTGGGAACTGTCTTCCTAATAACTGTGTTCTTTTCAGAACCCTCACTGGACTTTGCTAGGTTTTACCTAAGAACTTTAGAAGTTTCTATTTTCTCTCATGAAGCCTTTTCTAGTTCCACCAACCTTTGCATCTTCTCCCATTTCTTTCACGCTTTGCTCTTAGTTACTTGTGAAACAGTACAATGTGCAAAGCAGTTCTTTGCACTTTCAGGTTCAACAGCTTGGGCAAGTAATCTCCTGAACACATGACCACTTTCACAAATAGCAATATTACTACTTACCTCAAACAGCTGTGAAAATTAGGTGGTCTCATAAAAAAGGAAAAAAATAAACAAAACCCAAACTTAGCACAGAGCCTGGCATATAAATAAGAAATCAATAAAATCTTATAGACTCCTTGAAGTTAAATGGGCTATTTTAACCCAACTTTTTGTCTGCAATAGTTCCTAATAAGCTTTTTTTTTTTTTTTGGTATGCTGTGGCCAAAACCAGGGCATCCCATGTAACTAGGCAAGTGCCCTACCACCGAGCCATAGCCATCCCCTAGACTTTTCATAGTAAATGTGGCACACAGGACCTTCTTTTATGTGTTGAATTAAGGAACCCACTGACTTTACAGGACAATTGGCAAATCAAAACACTTAGTATCTTAACAACACATTAATTTCACATTCTTACTTAAAATACTGAATAATTTACTTGGCATGAAGTGTGGCACATATCTAATAGTTTCTAATTTGACAGATTTTTTTTTCTCAAGGTGTCCCCTCAAGGACCTCAAAGTGTATGTTCATATAAATCTCATAAGATCAACATTTTAAAATACACAAGTTTCACTCACTGAAGATATGAATCTTTTCAAACTGTTTTCTGAAAACTTTTAATTGGGGGAAAAAGTCTACTTCAGTCTCAAAATTCACCAAATGCTAAAGCCTCAGCCTTAACTGCCGTCACTTGGAGAGCACTTTTTTTAACCCTCGGGGCTGTCTCACCACCTGTTGCACATCATCCACCAAGGTAGTGCGGCTCTCCAGTTGCTCTTCCCATTTATGGCAATCTGCTCAAAGCTCACTGGTTCCAGAGAGGCAGCCAAACCTCGGAGTAAATCTATCTTTAGGTGACCCTGCTTACTCTTATCTGCAGCTTCACTGAAGCAAAGGATTCAATCGGCCCTCCTAGCTCAATGTCAAAAACTTGGGGTAAGCGAGAAATACAATTACCAAAGTGCCCCTACAATCCTCACCTACTCTAATGAAGTTGGAAAGCAAATCTCAGGCTTTTACATCTTAATCTAGGAACTGTTCTCTTTAAAGTTGGCTTGGCGTGGCAATTTAGCAGTTGTGTTAGATGCTATTAATAAGTCATCCTGGGTAAACTGATTCCTTATGTAACTGTATTAACATATACCCTAAAACTACCACATTAAAATCAAAGCGTCACACATCCAGTCATACAGCAACAGAACTTTACCAGATTTTAAAATGTTTTAAGTTACAGATAAAATGAAATCTGTCCAACAGTTATATTATGTATTATGTGTCCCAATCCTTAAGTACTTTGAGGTACATTCTCAAAACCATGATTTCATGTTGTTTGTCAGTACAAATTATTTTTCTAAAGTGGATTTTCTTGCTTATATTTCTGACCTCAACATTCCCTTCTCCCCAAATTCAACACATTGTGCCCCAGAAATACTCTGTATTTATTCACTCATAGATGAGTCAAAAGTTATCTGTGAATTGTCAACTAAAAGAACCAATATGCTAGGTACACCAACCAATGGCTGTGGAAGGTTTATTGCTGCCAGGACCTGTGCCATCGATCTGAGACACAAGAGTACATGCTCTGGCCTCATGAAAGCTTCTATTTAGTTCAGAAAGCATCCGAGAATGTTAAGTAAAGTGAAAAATAACTTAGTTACTCTGTAAGTTAACTTGTAAAGGAAGGAAGCAGTGATTTTTTTTTTCCTTTTTTAATGCATACTATTTTTATGTCTTGCTATTTTCATCAAAATGCTAAATGTAGATAAAAGGTAAGTGGAGAAAAAAAATCTAAGAGCCCATTCACAAATCCATTTTCAATAATGTAACAAGAACAGTTTCCAAGAGTACTGGATCCATTTTGTAAAAGTGAATAGTATCTCTTAGTTAACCTATGTCACTTTTATTCATTCGCTTTGTTTAATGTTTATTCATTCATTCATTTATTTATGGCACTGTGGACTGAATTCAGGGCCTTTCCACTTGAACTTCACCCCCAGTCCAACAAGTAATTCTTGAAGCGCAAGTTTAAGAAACTCCTCTATCTAAACCTATAATTTTTAATACCATTATATTCAGATCAATAATTCAAACAATATTGAAAACTGTGCACAATGCCAAAATACAAACAATTTAAGTGATGTGCAATTAAGTAAACTAAAAACAGTGGCTGAAAAATAAAATTCCTCTCTCTTACTTACAGTGTGATTAACAAGTACTCTTTCAAGACTTGTATATGAAATCTCTGGGAGGAAAAATAAGCCAGTCATTTAAATTGAAGTAGTAAGTGGACAGGTCATCATTTTCTAGCGTTCTTCCTTACAGTAATAAATGCATCAAATAAATTTTAATTTTAATCATAGCGCCAAAAATAAAATTTGCTTATGCCTTCATTTACTATTGGTAAAAATACGCTTGTTCCATTTGCATCTTTCTAATCAACTGGTGTTTGTATGGTAGCCTGTTCCAGAGTCACTCAACAGCTGTTACAAAATACCAAACTTGGTAATTAAGTCTGACAAGAGGCATACCTCTCAGCTTTGCATAAGAGAACTCTGGCAATGGACCTAGCTCATAACAGTGTTCTCAAGTCAAAAATAAAATTTAGTAGCAATTTAGTTTGAGAGCAATGGAAAACATGAGGAAACACTTCATTAGTAGACAGTGGATTCCCCTCCAAGCAACACCATAGACTAAGATGATAAGGGAGTCACCACCCAGTTTCCACACCCATTCACCAGTTCATTAGCTAAGGGTTGAGCCCCAAGGCTGTAACAGAAGTCATGAAGAACAAGAGGGAAAAGAAGAGGGAGAGTACAGGCCTGAGATCATCTACTTTTTACACTTCCCCCTCAACCATCACTCACTATTACAAGGTGTGAAAGGGAAAAAGAACAAAAAAAACAACTGTCCAATACAAACCACAGGGCTGGAAGAGTGGCTCAAGTGGTAGAGTGCCTGTCTAGCAAACATGAGGCTCTGAGTTCAAACTCCAGTGCCACCAAAAAACCAAAACACCAATACAAACCACTTACGATTTTAAATTTTCCAGTAGCTACATTTTTTAAAGTTCAAAGGTGAAACTAATGCTTTGTTTAACCCAGTATATCCAAAATACTGCCATGTCAACATGTAGTGTAATCAATGTAAGAATTTTACTCCAATGTCTCAGCCACATTTTAAGCACACAATAACCACGTAAGTCCTATCCACATATATTTATTTAAAAACAAAGAAAACTTAAAAACACTAATTAATCTGAAATAATTATTTATGCACACAAACATAAATAATATTTTTATAAAAATGAATTCATAAAAAATTCAGTGAGTGACTTTGGTTTTTTACATTTCTACAATTTTTTTTTTTTTGGGTGGCTGGGTATTGAACCCAGGGCCAAATGCATGAAGTGCAGCACTCGACCACTGAACCCTGCAGATCTTTTCAGTACTTGATTCAAGAGAAGGTAGATGGATCCACTCATCTCCTCCTTCCCTCAGACTGCTAGAATATCACAGCATAGCCTCTAACGTGAAAAGGCAAATGATGTCCTAGTAATATGAAAATAGTTTGACTTCTCATACCCCTTGAAAGGCTCTTGGGACTCCCAGAGCCCCCAGATCTGAGTTTGGTTTTTGAAAAGCACAGCTGTAATTTATCATCAAATGTAATTAATCACAACCAAATTCTTTATTCATGTTTTAAGTTTTAGCTACTAAATATAAACCTCAGCATGTAGATGAAAATTTATGTGATCACATTTCTATACAACAATATGTTTTCACTCACATACTAAGTTTTTTTTTTAAACATGCTTTTGTAAGTATTTCTGGTTTTTTTGGTTTTATTCCAAATAAATAAAACCAGAGGCTCATGCTTGCTTAGGCAGGTGCTCTACCACTTGAGCCACTCCGCCAGCCCCTTGTTTTGAACATTTACTACAGACTATATAAGGAGTTACTTTAAATAATGTCAAGACACTCTGCTGCCCGCCCTTCTCCAAATTTAAAATTTGTTTTAAATGCTGAATTATCCTGATTGACTTTTTTTATAGTGATGCTACTCTATAACTTATTTTAAGTGAATTTTAGTATTAATGCTGCAATGAATTCTAAAGGATAATTTCTTCAACATATTTTCAAAAATTTTTTTTCCCATACTAGGGATCAAATCCAGGACCTCAAGCATGCTAGACAAGAGTCTTAGCACTGAGCCCCATCCCCAGCCCCTAAGTATGCTTTCTGAAGAGAAAGTCAATGTCATCCCCATACTTTTACTTCAACACCTGCTTCCCATCCTTTCTCATTCTGCTAATTGTTTTTCAACTTGATGATCTTTTCAAGATTGATACAGGCTGAGTCTCTCAATTCTGCAAATCTGAAACTTGAAACGCTTTGGAGTCTGAAAAACTGTGAAATCTGAAACACTTCCATCCCTGGTACTATGGAAAAGGGATACCAACCTTTAACGAGATATTCCGATTTATGGTAAATCAGAAATGACAGTTTCAACTTCAAATTTCATGATGAACCTTGACAAAATACACATTTATTGTTATCAGTGAAATGATTTAGGCTAACTTCTAGAAAAGTCTCTCTCTTCATTTAATAACTGCATTGCAGAGCAAAAATTTCTGGTGGCCTTACTTCTCAAACTTAGAAAAGGAAAAACTCAAGGAACATGCATTTGAGAATAAGAATATTTTAAACTAAAAATTCTCCAGAAAATACAGGCTGTACACACTTAATATTTTCACTTAAACATTAGGGCAGTAACACTGTCAGACATCTGTGTTTCCTATATTCATCTATCAACTAGACTGAATTTATTAAATAAACTATCTCATTTAATACACATACATACCCTCAATCCAATATGGCACATTTTATATGTCCAAAGACTGACTAGAAGAAACTAACCTCTAGTTCTATGAGGACTTTACAGACATATTCACCCATATGTGTATTTAACAAATAAAGAGAAGCCTTATCTTTCCATTAAACGTTTTGAGCTAACTCACAATTTTAGAGCTTTAGAAGTCCTTAGAGATCACCTAGTCAACCCTGTCCTCTTATAGAAAATGAAGCCCTAAAGAGTAAGTCACCAGCACACAGTACTAGTGATGGCTACACACAGACCCTTAACCGCCTGCAGGGTCAAAACTCATTCTCATGCATCAGGTTCCCAGCGAAAGTTTTAGAAAGCATGGAAAGTCTTGACCACAACATATTTTACATGTTAAGATGACAGTAATTAGTAACCAGTAAGCTTTATTTACTTAACTCCACTGAGAGCACAAATACAGACAGCTAAAGGAGTACATACACCCTATACTTAAAGTTTCAAAGGGGGATAACAGAAGCTCAATCTGTAACAGTAGTGGTGACTTAAGAAATGATTTAATTTACAAAGAAACAACTGTCAAGCGAACAACAGCATTCAACTACACGAATCACCAGCCCACTACTGCAATCACTAGTGACATTTTCCGTTAGATTTCCATTTGTCTCCTGACATAGATAAAAGGGACACTGTGTCCATTTTACAAACACAAAATTCACTAACATTACTCCCCTAATGCTCCTGGAAACTGGCAGTAGTAAGAATTTAGATCCATAGCTGGATGGTACACCTGCTACTTGAGAGACTGAGGCCAGTCCGGGTGAAACAGTTTGTGAGACCCCCCCATCTCCAAAACAACCCGAGGAAAACAGACTGGCACCTACTTTGCAAGCATGAAATCCTGAGTTCAAACTCCAGTCCCACCTCAAAAAAACTAAAAAAATTTTAGAGCCCTGAATCTTAAATTTTTGGATCATCTTTACTCCTCCAACTTTTAATTCACTGAATAAACTGAGTAAATCAGCAAACCTGTCTGAAGTTTCTTTCTAAAACAAAGCCTGTAAGGGAGCTTCAGGTTACATGAACAGGACTGAAGAAATAATGTGAAAATAATTACATGCAAAATTATCTACAGCACATTATCATCAAGACAGAAACCGTAATTGTAAGATCTGTATATATAGTACTAACGAATTCAGTGGAACTGGAGGATCAGACCCGGAGATGCAGCTCAGTGACAGAGCGCTTGTCAAGCGTGCAAGAGGCCTGGGTTCAGATCCCCAGCACCTCAAAACAAAAACAAATACAAAAGCCTTATAAAAAGATGCCAAAACTTGTGTATTTTCAAACTAAAGCCTGTTAATATAATATCCACTCCAAGCAAACTATGTAAGAGTAACATTCACTTTTGCTGATAGTCCCAAAGTTCATAGTAAGAAAGAAAACACTTCTCACTAGCAGAAGTTAGGCCCCTCTTACTTCAGAGTGTTCTTTCCCAGGCATTCATAACCACGGGAAATAACGTATCCTGAAGCGCACATATTCCACCCAACAATTCTAAGTGTCCAGAGCACCAATGATATAAATCCAGAAACCTTTACTAATTAATACTGCATTCGTGGACTGACGATTTACAGAGCAACCAAGTTCTCATCACTCTCTGCTTCTCGTCACTGCAACTTAAATTCGTATTCTGATCAGAAAGTAACTGTCAAAAATATGTTTAATCACTCAGTAAACTGACTTTCCTTGGGACTTCCGAAAAGTATAATATGCATTCCATAAAAAAAGGCTGTTCACCATTGTGTGTTACACAGTACATAAGGTTCTATTACTCCAGATCGTACTTGAATTTATAGAGTTCTGTTAAATTTAGCGATACAAGTGCGTCCATGGCTTATCCTCAATCGAACCAATTCAATTTTGCCAAACAAGTAGACTCAAGACCCCCTACCTAACAACAATGGGTGTACAGCATGCCGGGTCTGTTACGACATTACTGCGTGGTGACTATTTCTCCTCGTCCAGGCCCCACGGATGTGGACAGGAAAAGAGCCGGGGAAAGGAGCATGCACGCTTGCGGCACCATCAAGAATATTCAAGCAGAGCGCCACAAAGCCCGGGCCTTCGCTGCGCTGTCGGCCCGGGAGCAAAGCTGCTTTTTCGGTGTAACTTAAGTCCGTGCCCTTCCGCTGCAGCAGTGGCGCTGCACATCCCCCACCCGCGGCCACTTCCGTGTTTACACTCCTCTTCCCTCCAATTCCATGCGTACATTGTCAGCTCCACTCCCGCCCGATCTCCATTGGCCGAGCGCACACCCGTGGTCCCGCCCCCAGAAATCAACGTTCTCATTTGGAACCTCCCGAGAGCAGATTGGAACCGCGGGCCTGTCAATCCCGCGCGCGCTGTCCTCTCCCAGGCGCTTCCGCTATGGTGGGAGGTTTGGGGGAGGGGAGAGGGGCAATTCCGTGCAGAGACTTCCCTGGGGCCAAGGCTCCCTCCCGCCCGCCCCGCTCCTTCACCTTCACCCACTGTTGACAAAAATAAACCTTCTTCTCTGACGTCCCAGCGCTGCAAGCCGCGGGCACCACACACACGCCGTGTCCTTCCCACTCCCCTAAAAGCTGCCCACGAGGGAAGGGGCAGCAGCCTAGTTTCTCCCTGGCCACGCATTAGGCGCGGAAGGGAGGCGGCCCCGAGAAAAACCCCGCCACGGCGCCTCCACGCTGGGCGCCCTTCCCGGACCGTTACTCCGGAGCCTGCAACCTGCGGGACGTGGGCAGGAGGGAGGCTCCCAGTCCCTTCTGGCGGGTCCCGGGCGGCGGACCTCGCCGGGGCCGCCTCGTCCACGCGGAAGTCACGGAGCTGGGGGGCGGCCGGCGCCCCCCGAGCAGCTGCGGCCTCCGGCCAGACAGCGTGGCAGGCGCACCGAGACAACAGCCTCGCTTACTTCCTGGTTCCTCGGCGCGGGGCGAAGCGCGCAACTCGCCCGCCCCGCGTCCCCAACTTAACCGCGGCTCGGCTCCTGGCACCGCTGCCAGCGCCCCGCCCGCCGGCCGCCGCCGCCCGCCGGGCCCCCCTGGAGCGACAGCGCCGGGTGCGGGGCAGGTTACTCTCCAAGGTGATCACTTCCTGATTCGTCGCCTCCATTACTTCATTCACTCCCCCCTCTCCGCGGCCGCCCAGTGCCTGAGGTGGACACCGTGCCCCCAGCACTGACCGCGCCAGGGGAGGCACCCCGCCTTCTGTGCACCCCCTCTCCTGCTTCCCCGATGCACCGGAGGAAAGTTCCCGGTCCTTACCGGCCCGGATGAGCAAATCCAGCTGGTTCGTGGGTCCCTCATGCAGAGACGTCGCCATGTTTATCCCGGGGCTGGAGCTGCTGCTTCACATTGACTTCCACCGTGAGCCGCGGCGGCAGGGGAGGAGGCGGAACCCGCGGCCGGAGACACACGCCGCGCCCGACACACACTCACGCACTGGCACACCGACGCCCCGGATCCTTGCGCGTCTCCGACAGGAAGCGGCGGCCGGCCCGCCTCCCGCCGCCGGCCGAGCCACCCACCACCTAACGGCGGGGCAGGGGCAGGGGCAGGGACAGGGGCGGCGGCGGCTCGGCTGCGCCGCGATCCTTCCGCCCCGCGCCCAGACAGGAAGTCCCGGGCGCCGTCCGCACGGACACCTGAGGCTGCGGGGCCGCCGCGGGACCGCGGCCAGGCAGGAAGAGGCGCATTTCACGCTCTGCGGAAGCCCAGTGTGCAATTGTCCCCCTGGACAAGAGCCATTAGTCACATTTTCCTCGGAGAGCGACCGCGCACCTAGCCCCGCGGCCGTGCGGAAGGTGGCTCTGGAACTTGTTCTGGCTTCCCGGGGCTTATGCAACACGTAATCGGTTCACTCGAAAGCGCTGCGCTCAACAGCACAGCGACAGAAGTCTGCCGGGACAGACCCCACGGCAGACTCGGTAAGGCGCGCCGACTGCTCTCCCAGACCCGCCGTCCTGTGCTTTTGCGGAAGTCACAGGTGACAGCAGGCGAGCCAACCCGCCGCACATGGGTCACACTCCCCAGTCTGCTAAGCATGACATTCTGTGCCTTTCCACTTTCCTCTAGTTCACGCGGAAACAAATGAATATTCATTTATATTGTCTGCTTGTGAAAAATCCTTGTCTAGAAACTGAACTCCTTACAAATACAACAATATAGTGACTATAAATTCACTGGAATCGCAGGAAACCAATAAAGTGACGAGTGAGACCTCATTAAAACAAGAAAACACCTCCCTGGTTTCACAATTTCTTGAAATAAAAATTGTGTGAAATAAATGTTATCCTAAAGTTGTTTGCCACAAAATTTACATAAAACAGTGCCTCCCACAGAGTAAGTGTTCAGTATTTGCTGAATAAACACAAAGATTTGCCATATACACATTTAAGACAGCTAGGTGTCAAATTTCATTTTTGAACTAACTATATTACAATCTAGAGAAAAACTTTCAACAGTAATAGTAATGCAATATCGTTTTAAAAAGGTTTATTCAATGATTCCAGCATCAGAAAGGATTCGACAAAGCCTGTGACTTTTTAAAAAATTTTTTCTTTTAACACTCCAATTAGACAGCTGGTGGTTTAGGTTATTATTACTGCTATCAACTTGAAGTAACAATCATGTATCAATAGCATCTTCACCAGTTTCCATGTGGAGTAGATAAGGGGTGATAAGGGGTAACTGCTGGCCTTAAACACATCATGGAAATTGCTAACAAATCTGAATTTCACTCCAGTTAAGTAATTTCTCATGTGTTCTGTTTATTAGGGAAAAGAGTAATGTAAGCCAAAGGCTTATTTTCTGTGGAGGTGACAAAAGTCAATATGGCTCAAAAAGAATATAGTTGTCTTCTCACTGTGGGAGTCAGTCTGAAATCTGATACGCAACTTCTACCTTACTATTTCCTTTTAAGATGTGTTAAAAAGCCTGTGTGTTTCACGGTCTGTACATCTTCATTACATGCATCCCTCTCACCTCATTTTAAGCTCCAAGAGAACAGAAGCTGTATGTATTACTGCATACTTTATAACAACACATACACACAAAGAAATTAATACAGAAAGACGACAAAATATTCCTATATATTAAAACTTGTGAAAACAAATTTCCCTGGACATAAATGCAATTCTGCCCTGCTATAAACAGGTTTCAAAAGCCACCAATACTTTCTAGAAACCAAAAATACTGGAGAAAAAAGGGTAAATTGTTGCTAGAATGTGTATTGGTACAAATTTCCAGGAGAGCAACATGGTGTACATCAAGAGTCTAAACGCAATTTACATTTTGACGTAGGAATTTCATTTCTGAGGCCTAGTCTAAAGAAATAGGCAAGATATTTCATGGATCGTGTTAAAATAAAGCCATGCATGGGCATGGTGGTGTAACTTTTAAGTCCAACTCCTGGGCAGGAGGATTGTCTGAACCCCAAGTATGGAGCCAGCCTAGGCAACACAGTAAAACCCCATCTCTTAAACAAACAACGTGAAGTTTTGTGTTTTGTTTTTTTGGCAGTGCTGGGGATCAAACCTCGAGCCACAGAGCCTCACTCATGCATGGCAGGGTAAGGGCTCTCACAGAGCTACATCCTCAATCCCTAGAATTTTTAAGACAGGAAAATACTAAAAATATAGATGTGACAGGGTATTAATATTTAGATATTAATGTATTTTTTCTATCTGACTCAAATGTAGCATATGTGATACACATATATAATATGTATACTTGTGTGTATATACATATTTATCTGCATTTTCAAGTCTTCAAGATTGTTTAGGTTTTTATAATCAAATGTGGGGAGACAGTAACTGAGGTTTGAACTTGGGCCTCACACTTGCTAGGAAGGTGCTCTACTGCTTGAGTCCCTCCACCAGCCTAAATATGTCAGGTTTTTTTGCTTTATTTTGTTTTGGTGGGACTGGGGTTTGAACTCGGGGCTTCATATTTACAAAGCAGGTGCTCTGCCACTTGAGACACCTTAATTCTGAACTTGCAACAAACAGCCTAATGGCAAAATGTTTGGGTCCTAAGTTCTTGGAGGAAGCAAAACACCATGTCAATGAGTATTTCCAAGCAGCTCTATGGAGCTGGGATAAAGTAAGGAATGCTGAATGACATCCTACAGAACAAATGTAACTGAGCTCTCCAGCTAGTCTAGGGGACAGACCCTCCAACCCTAACCAAGTCTTCAGATGACTGAAGCCTGACTGACAAATGCAGCCTCCTACCAGACCCTGAGTTGAGACCTTGCAGCTACACCACTCCTCTAACCCTGTTAACACCTCAAAAACTCAGTGAGATGGTAAATGTTTGGTGGTGTGGGCTGCTCAACCTGAGGTTATGTGTTTAATCAGCTGAAGATAATACAGAAGGAAGGGGTGGTGTAAGACCCCAGCCCAGGAGTGTGTGGCCTACCCTTTGGGAGGCTGAGGCCTCTAGTTTGAGGCCAGCCTGGGCTACAGAGCAACATCTTGTCTGAAAAAACTAAAAAAAAAAAAAAAAGAAAAAAAACAACCTTGTCACATTTTACAACTTACAAGGCTGAAACTTGTTAATAACTCCCAACTTTGAAGAACAGAATCCTGAGTTCTTTTCATTTGCTAATTCTTTATAGGAGGCGTCAGCTCTTTCAATCTCCCATCTCTGCATTTTGAAAATGTCTTAATAGATATAATCATTATAATTAAAGTACAATATAACCAAAAATAGTCTTAGCCTTGTTATAAAATTTGTTCGCCAATGGCCACAAAATGTTCATTGTGGTATTTGAGTGATTTCATGGTCCTGCAGTAACTGAGAACAGAAAATTCTTAACACAGATGCAACTACATAATTGCTTCTAGCAGGTTTTGAATGGTGTGTGTGGTGGTAGAATCTTTTACTGAAGTCATACATCAGCACTGGGAGGTCAGATTTTCCTCAAGCACAGGGTCTGTAACGTTAAACGTTCTTATCTCAAGATTGCACTGATAATTCTGTTTGTATCTTTTATCTCAAAATACAGAATCATACAACGTTGTAGTTGGAAAGGATCACAGATTTTCAAAACTTAAGAACCTGAACATCACAACCTCTTTTCCCTAACTGGAATTAGATATATTACACTAGAAAACCCAAGTATATGTGTGCTCTATTCGATAATGTCTTATACTAGATTCTAGTACAAAGGACAATAGGCTTTTGAGTTTAATGTGGTACTGAGGTTTAAACTCAGGACCTTAGTGGGGTGCTGGTGTCTCACGCCTGTAATCCTAGCTACTCAGGAGGCAGAGATCAGGAGGATTGTGGTTCGAAGCCACCCCAGGCAAATAGTTCAAGATACCCTATCTCAAAAAACCCTTCACAAAAATAGGGCTGGTAAGAGTGGCTCAAGGTGAAGGTCCTGAGTTCAAAACCCAGTACCATAAATAAATAAACAAACAAACTCAGGACCTTGAG